TCCAGTATTCCTACCTGGGAAATCCATGGAGAGAGGAACCTGCTGGGCTACAGTCCCTGGGGTCACAAGGAGTTGAACACAACTGAGCAAATACACTTACCTGGGAATAGTGAACATCTTATTTCTTCTGCCTTAGGTGTATGCTTTTTATTTCCTTTTCCTTTCTTTATTCTGCTAGCTAGAATTTCCAGTACAGTGTTGAATAGAAATGGTGAAAGAGGACGCCCATGTCTTATTTTTAATGTTAACGGGAAAGTATTCAGTGTTGCTTGACCATTAAATAAGATGACAGTATGGGTTTTTATATAGATGTTTTAAAATCAAGTTTGGTAGGTTTCCCTCCTCATTTGCAAAGAGCTTTCATTATGAATTGGTGTTGAATTTTGTCAAATACCTTTTCTCTTTCAGCTGATACGATCATACGACTTTTCCTCTATAGCCTGTTTATATGATGGATTGTCTGACTGGATTTGAATGTTGACCAAGCCTTGCATTTCTGCAGTAAACCCTGTAGTTGTAGAATATGGAACACACAGACATACACACATTCCTTTTGCCAGTATTTTGTCAAGAAATTTTATGTGTAAAATCATGAGCATATTGGCCTTTACATAGTTTATTTTTTTGACACTGCTGTCTGAATAATACTGGCCTCCCAAAATGAACTTTTGAGTGTTTCTCCCTCACCCCGCTGCCCCCCCCACCCCCCGCCCAGCCTGGTTGAGATTTTGAGTTGGTTTTCTTTCTTCTCTAAATATTTGGTAGAATTCTCTGGTGAAACCATTTTGGCCTGGAGATTCCATTTGATGGAATTCATTAACTACACTTCATGAGAATATGTAGGGTTGTCATTAGCTTTGATACATGTACACTAAAGTTTCCAGTTGCATATCTTATAATGATTTAAAATCAGCAAAATTATGCTTTGAATAATAGGACTTGAGCACTTTAAAGGACCATAGAGACCCTCTTCAATTTAATGATTAGAAAACTGAGGTGCAGAGATGGCAGGTGTCTAGTGCAAGCCCATATTCTCAAGGTAAAGCCAGATCATGTCTGTTTTGTCCTAGCCATTGGAATTCTGCCCTTTATACTGCTTAATAAAAGCCCTATCCAGTTGGCATTGAGGATGTGATTATTTTCAAAAAGCACATTTTGATGATCTTTACTTCCTTCAGGCATAGGTTATTTTGTAACAATTTCAAGCACATCTTTAGATGTTTTCATTCACATCTTCTGTTACTAATCCTGTTTTATTTCATCCTATGCAAATTAGAGATTTTTTTTATAGTCCTGTTTATTGTCTGTTTTATATATATTTATTTTGTGCTAAAAAGCAAACATCCTCTATTTAGCATATGCAGTTCTATATGTATCTATCAGGACAGATTTATTCATCTTGGTGTATGAATCTGGTAGAAACTTAACCAATGTTATTCCTGCCTTATAAAAATTAAGATGGCATTAAGATGTTTCAATTTATTTATAGATGTAAATTTTTATTCTTAGAGTAAAATTATTTTACGTAAGTTGATGTTTAAGATTGTATACAAATTTAAAAATATGTCTTCCTGCTATTTTCTTTCTTAAATCTATTTTTCAGATGCAAATGCACACTTTTGTATTTTGTTGTTTTTAAATAACTCTTAATATATTTATTTTCCAAAATTTTATTTGCTTTATCTCTAACATATCTTCAAAACTGTGATTTATAAACTGAATATTGGTGGATAGTTTTCAGCCTACTAAAAGCTACTGACGTCTAATTCAAACATTCAATATACATTTCATGTGATAGATGGCATATTTAATTTAAAATGCATCTTCCTATTGTGGTTATCTTTGCTTCAGTTCTGTGTCTACACATTCTTTTAAAAATTTCTGTAGATTATTTACATTCTAAACTTCACTGTTAGTTGGTAATGTATATACTTCTGTTTTATTAGTGTTTAAGCTTAAAAATTATAATACATGTCTTTAACACAGCATAAGTTAATATCAACCTTGTGCATGATGTGATGGATATTGTTGAGGATCACGTGGTAATTCCATTGTTCTCAACGAGATGTTCATGTTTTACGTAGATAATTAACTGCCTTTAGTCACAGGTGCCCTTTTCTTGGATCTTCTGTCCTTCTGTCACTGCAGACCTTTCACCTGGGATCATTTTCCTTTGGCCTTAAGTGTAGCTCTAGGGTCTATTTTGTGTGGGTTACTTTTTGTTTTTTAAATTGGAGTGTAGTTGTTTACAATGTTGTGTCGTGTGTGGGTTAGTTACCTACTATTTCACTCTCTTTTTGAGAAACATTTCCAGTACACCCATCCACTATGTCCTGGACCCACTCTATGTTGTATGTGACTGGAGGTGATTTACTTTGTGTTAACAGCTTCCTGGGATTAAGGAACAGTATTTGAACATGCTACAAGAACAACACATCCTAGAAATTCTAATAGGCTCAGTAATTAGATAGGGTTTTTAGTTGTTGGAATAATAAAAGGATGACTGTGTAGAATGCATTGGAGAAATAATATGTCTGGTAACCAAACTGATGGATTGTGACATAAACTGACCAGATGACTAACAAACTCCATTGTCTCTTTCTGGATGCCTGGAAGGTCAGCATGTCCCATCTTTCCTTAACAGTTAACTCTGGGACCATGTGAATAAGCTGTGGCCAGATGAATACAGGCAGAAGTGGTTGTGGGTGCGTGTCTTAATTGTTCTTGCATTTGTGCACCGTTCTGGGAATCTCCTCAGTGGTTCTCAATCTCAAACCTCCCCAGGACTTAGTGCTCCCTTGGGTGCTGCAGGTTCAGGAGGTGGGCTGATGGTGATAATGTCTTGATGAGGACAGGTCCTGAGGACCTGAAAAGCCTCTGAGCTTCCAGCTGGGCCATCTCATCATCACATATTTGTACCCAAGTCTGCCAGTCCTTAGGGTCAGAAGAGGAGGACAGGAGGGCAAGAAGGAGGCCCCAGTTGTTAGGAGCTCGATATGTCATCATGTCATAAACGTGAAACTATCAACTCCACTCCACTTGGACCTGAGGGCACTTAGTCCTGATGTTCCCAAGATCAGACTCTTACTTGTAATATTGCAACTGTTTGGGCATCGTGCCTACCTGTAGTTTAAGAAGTCTACCTGCTCTTTAAGAGATAACTAAATATGAATAGAAAAAAAGAACTATGCAAAGTAGTACATACAAATATATGGTTTTTATGTAAAGCATTTAATCAGTACCTGAGAGGCTACTTGCCAACTCAAGGAATCATGTTTTCATAAATAATGCCAACATTCTTGCAAAAAGGTATCCACTTAACTTAAGACTTTCACAGCCTTGTACATTAAAGCATTGTGTCTGCAATCCCATGGACTGCAGCCAGCCAGGCGCCTCTGTCCATGGAACTCTCCAGGCAAGTATACTGGAGTGGGGTTGCCATTCCCTTCTCCAGGGGATCTTTCTGACCCAGGGGTCGAACCTGTGTCTCAGACCCTCATTGCTGGCAGATTCAGTACCATCTGAGTTACCAGGGAAGCCCCCTTCTCCAGGAGATCTTCCCAATCCTGGGATCGAACCTGGGTCTTCTGCATTGCAAGTAGAGTCTTTACTGTCCTAGCCACCAGGCAAGCCCCATGTTAATACTGACAGTAGTAATGTTCAGTCAATCGGTCGTGTCCAACTCTTTGTGACCCCATGGTCTGGAGCACCCCAGGCTTCCCTGTCATTCACCATCTCCTGGAGCTTACTCAAACTCATGTCCATCAAGTCGGTGATGCCACCCAACCATCTCATCATATGTCATGCCCTTCTCTTGCCTTCAGTCTTTCACAGCATCAGGGTCTTTTCTAACGAGTTGGCTCTTCACTCCAGATGGCCAGAGTATTGGAACTTCAACCTCAGCATCAGTCCCTCCAATGAATATTCAGTATTGATTTCCTTTAGGATTCACTGGTTTGCTCCCCTTGCAGTCCAAGGGATTCTCAAGAGTCCTCCAACACTACAGCTCAAAAGCATCAATTCTTCAGTGCTCAGCCTTCTTTATGGTCCAACTGTCATATCCACACGTGACTGCTGGATAAACCACAGCCTTGACTATATGGACCTTTGTTGGCAAAGTAATGCCTCTGCTTTTTAATACTTGTCTAGGTTGGTCATAGTTCTTTGGTTTTCTTTTTTCTTTTTTTTTTTTTTACCCACAAGGAGCAAATGTCTTAATTTCATGGCTGCAGTCACCATCTGCAGTGATTTTGGAGTCCAAGAAAATAAAGTCTGTCATTGTTTCCATCGTTTCCTCGTCTGTTTGCCATGAGGTGGTGGGAAGGGTGCCATGATCTTCGTTTTCTGAATGTTGAGTTTCAAGCCAGCTTTTTCACTCTCCTCTCACTTTATAATCAAAATGCTCTTCAGTTCCTCTTGGCTTTCTGCCATAAGATGGTGTTGTCTGTGTGTCTGAGGTTATTGATCATTTCTCCCGGCAATCTTGATTCCAGGTTATTCTTCATCAGCCTGTTACTTCGCATGACGTGCTCTGCATATAAGCTAAATAAGCAAGGTGACAATATACAGCCTTGACATACTCCTTTCCCAATTTTGAACCAGTCTGTTGGTCCGTGTCCATTCTCTGTAGCTTCTTGACCTGCATACAGGTTTTGCAGCAGGCAGGTATGGTGGTCTGGCATTCGCATCGCTTTAAGAATTATCCATAGCTTGTGAGCTCAGCCTCAGCCCGAGTTCCTCGTGACCTGAGTCTGGAAGGGGCCCTAAGTCCTGCGTTGATCAGAGAAGGCGGGGCATTGCCCCCAGGCCTATGGCAATTTGGGCAGTCTTCTTTAAGAGGAAGCCCCGCCCTGTATTAGGAAAAGTGAAGCCAAGTTATCTCCCAGTCTCTTCTCTTGGCGCCGAGGGGCTGTCGACAAAGAGAAGGGAAATAGCGCACGCGCGTGGGCACAGGATGGGCGTTAACTATGGTGCACAGAAGCGGATGCCAACGACACTTCCGCCCCCACCCCTAGGCCAATCACAGTCCGGGGAGGGGCGTTTCCGGCGGCTTCGAGGCGGGACTTCCTGTCTCGCTGTAGAGCCTCCTTCCGGGAGCGGTTGGTGGTTGAAAGGCGATCACGTGGACCGGAGCGCAGCTCCGGGACCGTGTCTCTAGGGCCTGGCGGGTAAGGCCAGCAAGGTAGCGGGCCTATCTCCGCACCTCATCGGAGCCGTGACGCCCCAGCCCCGGCTCCTTCGCCGTGACACTGTGTCTCCGTCTACGGGACAGGAGACTTCGCGCCTCGCGTTTGCCAGTCTCCGCCGAGACTGCACGTTTCTGCAGGCCTCCACCCGCGCTCCGTCGCCTAGGGCCCCGAGGACGGCGGCCTGGGCCTTTCGGGCATTTGACGTCATTTTGTTGTTGTTGTCGTTTGACATCATTTTATAGCGGGGTTCGGAGTTTGAGGCGCAGCCCGAGGGGACCTGCCCTGGTCTCCCGCCGCACGGGGCCCCATTCCTCCCGCTGTGCCCAGCGGCAGTGGAAGGCGCCGCAGCACTGATGAACCCGGCGCAGGTGAGTGGAGGGTCACCCAGGGCCACGCCCTGAGTCCGCGCCCCTGGCGATAGCTGCTGGTGTTTGTCCTGGGACTCTGCCTTCCCTTCTCTCTGTTCTTGGTCGCGGGTCTCTGGAGGGAGTCGCTTCTGGGGTAGGGTACCGAATTCAGGCATATGAATAGATTCCTAAACTGAGAACCTCGGGAGTGAATTTCGGCGCCATGTGCCGACTCTCAGGGGTGAGCCTGAGTTGGGAGTGATCAGGGTCTACATTGTACCTTAGGGGGACAGGGAGCACCCGGGCCGAGGTCAGGCCTGGAATGACAGCCAGAGGAGCTAGACCTCCCTTCCGAAAGTTTGGGGATAAGATGGAGGTGATTTAACACGTCTCGTTACATGGGTTTCCTCTGGCTGCCCAGAGGAGGCTGTGGAAGTGAGGGAAGAGGCGGGGAGCCCCGGGAGGATTGTGAACCGATAGCTTTAAGACCCAAGTCCTGGGGACTGGTGGGAGAAGGTGAGCGCGAACGTGATTGTGCCTGGGAGATCCACTTTGGATGACACCAGGATAACAAGCTGGCAGGAGAGAGTTCGAGGCCTTTCATACTGTACTTAGCTTAAGAAGTATTTTTTCCTGCCCACCTGCCTGGTTTTGGTCTGGGCTGCACACAGTAATCAGAGGGAAAAGAGGAGAGAGCAACTACCAGGGTGGTGCAAAGTCAGGCGTCTCCTCTGAGTTGGGAGACTGGGGAGAAGAGGGACCTGGGATGGTCTGGGGAGAGATGCTGCCTGCCAGCTTATCTGTCCCCACCGTGGCAGGGCTGTGTGACCTTCGAGGATGTGTTCGTGTACTTCTCCCGGGAGGAGTGGGAGCTGCTAGAGGAAGCTCAGAGACTCCTGTACCGTGATGTGATGCTGGAGAACTTTGCACTTGTGTCATCACTGGGTAAGTCCCTCTTTTAGTTATCCGTTGCTACCTGGCAAATTACCCCAAAGCTTAGTGCATTGAATAGACAAACATTTATCTCACAGTTGCTTTGGGTAAAGAATCAGGCATATGCTACTGAGGTGCCCCTAGCTTAGGGTCCTCCATGACCTTGCTGGCAAGCTGCCCAGGGTTTCCATTTGATCTGAAAGCTCAACTGGTGGTGAATCTCCTTTCAAGGTCATGCATGTGATCAGGAGGCTGTTGGACGAAGCCCTCCATCAGTTTCTCGCCATGTTGTGTTCTCCTTAGGCAGGTCACAACAAGGCAGCTGATTTCTGAGATGACGGGCAAGAGACAGCATCCAGGAGAGAAACTGATATTTTTACAACCTGCCCTCGAAAGTGCCATCCCACGGTGTTACATTATTTTCTAATGAACAAAATTATATTCTGTTCATTATAAAATAGTGTTTAAACCCAGCCAGCGCTCAGCTGGAACGCGTTAAAAGGGACATGATTCTCAGTTTCCTGAGCGGAATGTTGTTTCTTCTCATGGGCAGTTCTCGATGTCTCACAGTTCTGTCATGGCGCAGCTTCTTTCCTTGTTCCCTGGAGTAAAAGTGTGAGTCCCAGGGCTGGGCAAGGGACACCTTCCTCCTTTCCCAAAGCCACCCCAACCTCTGCTGCCGGGAACTTTGAGATGAAGTACTTGGGGGTGAGAAGTCTTGCAGTCTACCCCCGACACGCCAGATCCCTGGCCTCTCTGTGCCCCAGGTTCTGCCCCCTTCCGCCATCTTCTCTGTGAAGGGGGTCTCCCAGGGTCACTACTGGCCCCTCATCAGCTGTTCTTTCCCATTAGGACTTGCAGTTTCCAGGTCTCATGGGGCTACCCAGCTGCAGCCAGAGGGGAGCCTGGGGTGCCTGAGGAGGTAGACGCTGCTCCGGTCAGAGCAGAGAAGACCTGGAGGAGGCCCAGGCCTGGTGAGTGGAGGGCACGGGCATCAGGGCTGGCTTCACTTTATAGCAGCAGTTTGCACTGCGTCTATGGTGTGTTCTTCCCCAACTTTGATGCGTTGCTCATTTGTCACTCTACTCTGCCCTTAGGCACCTGTTCATCCCACCCCCCTTTCTAGTCGCACATCTTATCTGACTTCTTGCTCCTCCATGCAGCGCTCCACGGCATTGGGTTTCTTTTAACGTGTCACGAGATGTGCACATATCCTTAGTTTTCCTTGAACACTATCAGGCCAGATATTCTGTTCTGGGCCAGGTTAGATATTCTGTCAGGCCAGGTTTTTCTGGCCCTGGCTGGACCCTTTTTCACAGCACTCAACCAGCACAAGGAACCAAGAGCCTTGCTTGGAGACCATCTGCATGGTGTGGTTCAGAGAGCCCCTGGTCACACTGTGCCCCATCGTGGTATCCCCTCCTCCAAGGTTCCCTTCCCCTCCTCCTCCTGATTCTGGGCCCCATCTGAGGCCCGCGGTCCCACAGACCCATTGCAGTTACCAGACACGGGTTTGTCACCGGAGGCCACCAGCTGAACGTGCGCTTCAGCCGCATCTGTCTTCCTTCAGGTTGTTGGCCCGGAGTGGCGGGTGTGGCTGCACCTTCTGAGCAGTGGGTTCCTGTGAGCCGGCTGCAGATGAGAACTGCCCAGGCTGAGCCCTCCACCCACACGGCTCACCCCTGCGACATGTGTGGCCCAGTCTTGAAAGACAGTTTGGCCCCTGGCTGAGCTGCAGGGAACTCCCCGCAGGTGAATCATGGGGAGAGATTTCGGGTGTAGTGTAAACCTCGACCAGATGCAGAAGCGGTAGAATGGAGTCTTCAGGAGAGAAAACGCAGGCTTCATTTGTAAAGTACTGCGGATCCTGTACGTCAGAGACAGCCTTCACTTGCAGGGAGGGTGGAGAGGACTTCCCGGCCAGCACGCGGCCCCTCGCCATGGGGAGAGGCCAAGCGGGCATGTCAGGAGCTTATTCTCTGCTGTCATCGCCATGGGGTCCTTTTGGGTGCTGGACTCCCGTTGGGCCGGAAAGCACAACTGAGGCCATAAAGCTTGCTGCCTCTCAGCGGCCCTTGTTGGAGGGAACGTTGCTCCAGGGTCAGTTGACTCTGGGACTCTGGGTTAGAGCAAACTAGAAATCAGAAATGCAAGAAGGGCTGTGGAGCCCAGGGACAGTTTCCCACAAGGAGAGTCTTCAGGAGGATGAGCTGTGAACACAGTGGTGTGAGAACAGGTGAAAGTCTGCACTCCAACAATTACTGGAACAATTACTCCGGTAGATGCTTTTCATAAACAGAACTCACGTGCACCAGGGAAAGCTTCCATGATCTACGCAGGCAAGAATCTCTGCAAGTGGAAGAAATGTGGGATGGCTTTAACAGACATTGATGTGCCTTTCTCCCGAGGGTGGGCCCGAGTCAGCACATGAGGATTTATGCTCAGCAGAACCATGGGAGTGGTCAGGCTATGCAGCAATAGCACATTCACACTGAGAAGCCTTATGGACGCAGAGAGTGTGGGGAAGTATCTGTGTCTGCTCTGCTTTTGTTCCAAGTAACATTTCCCATTCCAAAGACAGTCGTACTTTGAGTGCAGAGTATGTGGGCACAGCTTTCGTGACAACTTTTTTCACTCATCGTGTGAGGGTTCTCACAGGAGAGGATCCCAGAGTGCAGTGAATGTGGAAAGGCCTTCATTCACCCTTATTTGTCTGGCCTAATAGGATCCATGCTGGAGAAAAACCGTTTGAGTATAAGAATATCAGAGAGCCTTTCGTTATAGCTCCTCCCTGATTCCATATGGGAAGGCTCACATGAGGGAGAAACGCTGTGAATCCAGTGAATGTGGACAGCCCCTCTGCCTTCATTTATTCCTTACCAAGCCTCAGAGTGTTCACACTGGGGAGAAACCCTGTGAGCGTAAGAAATGGGCCAAAGCCTTTTACATGTGAACTTGTCTCAGGCACTATCAGAGAACTCATACTGGGAAAAGACCATTTGAATGTAACTCCTGGGGAAAATCTTCTGAACAGAGGAAGCATCATACTCTGAGGAATTATACCAAAGAGAAATAACTGTTCGTATGCTGTGAGAAAATCTTCTGAGATCAGTCATCACTTACTGTCATTGGAAGAGTCATATAGGAAATGGACCCATCCTAGGATGTTGCATCTGAGAAATTATAAAGGAGAGAGAACCAGTGGCTACTGTGCAGTTTCAGAAATCTTCAACCATAGCTCTGCCCTTACTATGCACTGAAAAAGCAACCACAGGAATATTTAAAAAACAAAAACAAAGGAGAAAGAAAAGTATAAGTAGATAGAACAGGCCAAGAAATGTATTTATGACTTTTTTTCTAATTTTCCTCAGAAACCAGTGAGAGTTAATTGGCTGGGTTTTTTGTTGTTGCTGTTTTTGAGTGTCAAAACAAACTCTCAATTTGTTTGAGAGATTAAACACCTGAATTAATATGCACTGTGTGCCATGCCACACCAGGAAAGCTGGAAGCTTGAGAACATCTCTGCAAATGTTACTTGTTACGAAACATCATCTTAGGTGATGCTTGATTTATGAAGCCTTTAAAACTTAAATTAGGATACAAAAATGTTGTCTGAAATTATAATCTAAAGACATAAGGACACACTTATGAATGGATCCATTTTACTTAACTACTTAAAACTGTTTAAGGCTTCATTTTTATTTATTTATCCATTAATTATTGAGATATAGTTGGCCTATAACTATGTATTTTTTTTGTGTGTGGTTGACATCACAGCTGGCTTTTATTTATTTATTTATTTTTTCCATTTATTTTTATTAGTTGGAGGCTAATTACTTTACATCATTACAGTAGTTTTTGTCATACATTGAAATGAATTAGCCATGGATTTACATGTATTCCCCATCCCGGTCCCCCCTCCCACCT